CTGCCACCTTAGGTGTATGTGGCTGGCATCTTAGCCACTTGAGCCACAGGCGCCGAGCCGATTTTTTTTTTGAGACAGAGCCTCACTTTGTCATCCTCGGTAGAGTGCTGTGGTGTCACAGCTCACAGCAACGTCCAACTGTTGGGCTTAAGCAATTCTTTTGCCTCAGCCTCCCAAGTAGCGGGACTACAGGTGCCTGCCCCAACGCCCAGCTACAGAATCTGATTTTTTACCTCCTTTCTCTTCCCTTCCTGTTTCTACTAGCTGTGGTATAATTCTTGTCCTTTCTCTGTGTATTCTAATTTCTATACTGGAGTTCCCTCCTTCCTCTTGCTGTAGGCTCAATCTCATACCCAGATCTACGACTAATCTTTCCCATCAACTCTGGTGCGAAGGCAGATTGCAACTAGAAATCCAGAGAGGTACTTGGAGCCGAGAAATCTAAAGATGTATTATCCCCTCTACCCCTAACTTCCTTAAAGCCTAGAGCCAAGGGAAGAATAAATCAAGTTTCAAGGCTTCCTAGGCAAAGTTGGGGATTGAGATCTGACCCAGAACTGTACTGACTCTCAGGAGAACACTGTGCAGTGCTCAGAGTCCCCACTGGTATAAACAGAGCTTCTCTCTCCAATTTGGCTTGAGTATGGTCTGTTATTGGGGATGAAGGGAAGGTACAAGGGTTGGGTGGACACTTTAGTTGGGTGGGATAGAAAAAAGCTGAATAAAGAGGTTTCCAGGGAACTTCCTACTTGTGCTGCATAGGAAGGACACAAGAGTATAGCTTTTAAAAAGCAGGGTAAAAGGAAGAGATACAAAGTTATGTGGTCCCAGAGCTCCTGAATAATTTACCTGGAATTGTCCTGATTTATGTCCATTGCTTAGCATAATTATTAATAGTATTGTCTTTAATTTTTCCAGTGTGTCCCAATTTAGATAATCAATTATATAGTGAGGCACCATAGAATTATACTGTGAGGTACTCATATAATTTTGAATTGGAGATTTACCTCCCTAATCATCTGCCTTTCATAGTATCTGTGTTTTAATACCTTAGCACTGCTGCTAACCACACCACACTTAGATTTATGTTGTTTTAGTTGTTTCCAGGAAGAGGCATAGGAGGCAATTTCTCCTCTATAGGTAGACAATGGGGTTTTAAAGTAGGGAGGAAGGCAGGCTCAAGGGGACAGAGAGAAGACAGACTTGTGCCTGTCTCAGAATCAATCACTGAGTGAAGATGGATGGAAACAAAAGGGAAGCAGAGGTCTGAGAGGAGACAGATCAGATCAACATGACAACCTGGAAATATTAAGACAGGTTTGGATGATTCTATAAGCTAGTAACCATTTTCTGTTTAACATGCTTTACAGAGCATCAGACATAATAGCACATGCAGTTAGATACAACTTTTGAAGATGCTAAAAGAAAATAGTACTTAATATAGTAAGAAGGAAAGAGAAGATGGAGTGGTTAGAACCAAGATCTTATAGCCAGGGACTCTGACTGAGTGATGGTGAAGAAAATGGGAACTCACAGGTAAAAACACTGTATGCCTCAATGAGAAATCAATGTTGTGGTACATGTCTCTCTCTTACATAGCCATTAATTTCAAAGTACTATAGCTAAGAGTTCTGGAAGGGTTCCGGTCATCCTAATACCCCAAAGCCAGTCCTTCCTTAGGCCCTGAGCTCCTCAGGCCAGCTCTGGTCCCAGTTTACACACCTTGGCCCACACCCTTTTGTTATCTAGGAGGTGGGGTCATCTCTCACCCCTCAGGTCCAGTGGGGGGAGCAGCAGGAACAGGAGGGCTAGGATCCTCCAGCTGCACATCATGCAGGTGCACTGTAGGGGTGGTAGGGTCTTTGCCCACACCCTGATTTGGGTCAGCTTGGTCAGGGTGGTGCCTGCGCACATGCTTTACCACCTGGAATTTCTGCTTGGCCTTATAGCTGCAAAGGCGGCAGAAAAAGGGGTGGCGGTCCGTGTGGGTAAGGGCGTGATGGCGCAGGCCAGCAGCCCAGCGGAAAGCACGATGGCACACGTTACACACGTAGGGTTTGGCTTCGCTGTGCTTGCGAAGATGGGTACGCAGCAAGAAGCGAGTCTTGAAGGCCTTGCCACACTGCTCACACATGAAGGCCCGTGCTTCCCGGTGCCGTGTCTCCTGATGTACACGTAGTGCATCAGCCCGGTTGGTGCAGTACTCACACTCAGGACACTGATATGGCTTTAGTCCTATAGAACAGGGAACAAATCACCATTGAAAGAGGGTGGAACAAGGTTGAATGGGCCATAAGAATCACTCTGATCCTGGAATATAAAGAACACAAGCAGCAAGTTGACTAATGACTCTGTATTTGGAATGTTCCAGTCCTGTCTGATATTTCTTTGCCTTTCTTCCAACATAACCTCTTGTATATGTGGTACCCAATGGACGCTGATGACTAATTGGACCTATAACCAACTAGCCACCTAAGAGTAATGAATACTCAAATATGATAGGGTTTTCAAATGGGAAATTTCAGCCCTTTTTTGGTCACAGGGTACTCACGGAATTTGAGAATCCATTTAAACATAACTGCTTGCTCAACTCAAAAAGTTAAAAGAAATACAGAAGAAGGAAGAAGTAGAAGTGAAGGAAGCATCATAGAAGCAGAGGGTCTTGAAATGCGTTTGATTAATTCCTATACATATGGCAGATAGTATGCAATCAACACAGGCACATGATTATGTGTTTTCTGGAGAACCCATAGTTTGTGGATTCCACATTTGGAAGAAAAGAACAATTTGGAACAGGAGAATCCTCTGCTTTCTCCTCCTTATTCATGACAGTTGCATCATATCTGTGTAGAAACCAAGTATACCTGTTCTTAAGTCATTCAAGTTGAGTTGGAGGTTTTCAACATGTAATAAATAATCTTGTACAGTTATCTGGGAAGCTTTTGCAAAGTACATATGCGCATGCTCTCAGGTTTATTTTTTTATTTTTTAAATTTTTTTTTGTAGAGATGGAATCTCACTTTATTGCCCTCAGTAGAGTGCTGTGATGTCACACAGTTCACAGCAACCTCCAACTCCTGGGCTTAGGCGATTCTCTTGCCTCAGTCTCCCAAGTAGCTGGGACCACAGGCACCCGCCACAACACCTGGCTATTTTTTTGTTGCAGTTTGGCTGGGGCTAGGTTTGAACCCACCACCCTCAGTATATGGGGCCAGTGCCCTACCCACTGAACCACAGGCGCCACCCATCTCAGGTTTATCTCTCTTCTGATTATGATAGGTCTTCAATGTGTTGGGCAGCCATTCTGGTAGATACTCCCCCAGCCTACTCCCAGTGTGAAAATCAAGAATAAGAGTAATGAATACTCAAATATGATAGAGTTTCCTTGGTGAGGTTAGGTTTGCCAGGGAATCAGGGAACTCTTAAGGCCTGTCAAAATTACAAAGACTCACCTGTATGTTTGGTCATGTGGTACTTGAGTTGGTTGACCCACTTGCACTTGTAGCCACATTCAGGGCACAGGTACTTCCGTTCCTCCTTGTGGATCCTCATGTGGTACTAGAACAGGAAGAGCAGAATGCAGAAAATGTATATCCCTTGGTACTCACTGGATATGAAAATAGGGACAAGGAGACAGAACATGATGACAGATAACTATTCTCTGCTCCTCTCCTATTCATATTCTGCTTACCAACTATGTCTCCCAGTCTAGTCAGTTTTGATACCATCCTAACCCATTTGGCTTCTCTCTAGGTCTTCTCTGACTATCTCAGCTGTGTCACTTACTAGCTGTGTCTCTGGGTGATCTAACCCATAAATTCTTAGTCTACTAATCTGTAAAATGGGGAAAAGTAAAAGTATCCATGTCTCATAGTTCTGAAAGGATTAGAATTACAGTGCTAAGCATATAGTAAGTGCTCAATAA